GGCGGTGAACCTGGGGGGGGGGGGGGGGGGGGGGCATGTTCCTGAACATATGGAAGTAATTGGGCGGCTTTACAGCTGCCCAAATCACTTCTACTAGAGTCCACAGTCCGCAAACTCCCAGTCACTATAGGGCTGTGCTGACGCCCACAAGATCATGATGGTGGCAGTAAATTAGTTAATACTACTGCCAAGCAAGACAGTGTGTGCATAAATAAAAGTAAGCTTGTTGGTGCCATGAATTGTTGTGTAGTAATGATTTAAAACACTCCAAAAAAAAGGAAAAATTCAAGAAGAACTCAGGGCAGAAGAAAACTTTACCCTTGCAGGGGGGCTATCCCCACACTGCAAGGGTTAAGTGCTAATTTTCATCTAGACAAAGATATACCCACCTGAACCTCGGTCCCGCCTGGCTGATAGACCGGTCCCTGCAGTCTCTCTCCCCCTCCACTTCGGCAGTCTAAGGATCTGCGAGTCAGTCTAGCAGCCATGTGGGACTGAGGTACGGATGAGTAAATCTTTGTTATTTTACACCCTAAACAAAAATGAGCACTTAACCCTTGCAGTGGGGCTACCCCCACAGTGCAAATGTTAAAGTTCTCTTCTGCCCACAGTTCTTCTTGAATATGTAATCAAAAGGGACACGTACCTCAACCGAACATTTGAACCTATGTAGGATTCGTAAGGCTTCTCAACTTGCATGAATTCGAAATCATAACTTCTGCTTTGTGTCAGCTCCCCAGGTAAAGCTAATTCTTTGACGAGGTTGACAAACTCATGTGTATTGCTTTTATCATTGAAAAGTTCTGAAAATCGGAAGCAAAACAGATTGTAAAACTGTAACAACTGTAACAGACTAAGGTTTATGGGAAACGTCATTTTATAAGTTAAAGCTACCCAACACAGAAAATGTAATACTTAGTGGAAACAACATGATAAAAGCGAACACCATCAGCTTACCATCTTGCCCCCACTGGAAGACTTCCCCTCTATTCTTGTTCTGGTTACAACTTCAAAGTTTTGATTTTCCTTCATTCTCAGTCCTGGTGACAATAGTCACTGGGACAAAGAAAGAGGGTGAATCTCATCAATGAGGACACAAACAACAGAAGCCCAACAGGCTTTTTAACCCGCCAAATTATCCATCCAAATGTAGTTTTGGCTCTACATGCAAAGTTTTTCACAAAATACCAAACACCTAATTACAATAATCAAACAGCATACTTCATTGTCTTACTCAATTCACAAACCCTTGACACAAGGAGTAGAATCTTTAATTTAGCGTGACTTGAATTTTCAAATCTCATTGGACTCCGCTAAAAATAATGCATCTTATGTCCTCCCATGATCCTTAAGAGAACTATGAGGAAAAATACTTACCCTATAGTTCTCTTTTAAGAGACCTGACAGAAACAATATCTCTTCAATGGCCATACCTCCTGCATCTGCTAATGTGCCTTATAAAATGGATAAATCTATGATCATTGCTTCTTGATTCAGAATCAAATAACTGGCTTTAAAAATAGAGAAAGCTTACCGATCTGTCCAACAAATTCAATTCGAATTCCTTGATGTTCTAGTCTTTTACCAAGTTGTTTGAAGACAATATTGACCTAGACAGATAAAGAAAAAGAATAGCGGAGTGCAACGTTATATGTACTTACCATGACAAATCAGCAAAGAAAACAGGAACTTAATCCCACAAGTGCAATGCATTATGGTTAACTGCAAGCCTTGCAATAAAACACCAGTTAGGTCTCAGACAACATTCGGAACTACAGGACATGGTGAAAGATTACTTGCAGTGTAATGAATACACCGCTATATTTAATAAGTCTCTCGGCTTGGTGGTCAGTCAAAGATTGTTACAATATAGGGAAACTACATAGTATTCTCAATAAAAGCACAATACAAATGACCAGTAAGTCTCCATAATGCGGACACCCAGTTTTCATGAAATGGAAAAAAAACAGATGCGTTATGTTTGCATTATTTAACTCAGGGGTGGGCAATCCTCAATCCATGTGTGGTGAAACTCAAAATCCTATCATGCCTGTGGGAGTCTTGCCTGTGGCTCTCGGTGCATCCTCTAAAGTCTGTCATCGGGCAGTGCAGTCAGCTGCTGAGATTAAACTACATAGAGAATTTATTGTTTTCAAATCCATCTGAGCAGAACAACATGTCTCCCACAGACAGGTAAAGCCGACATCGAAAATGAGGAGAGCCAAGACATCTACTGTCCATGTACCAACTGATGTCTTATACTAACTGCCAATAACGAAAAGCAAAAAGGGTAACCATGGTAAAAAGGGCCCACCATACCAAACACAACTGCTGCCAGGCAGGGGAAACACCGGCCAGGCATCATGGGATTTGTAGTACAATAAGGAGGCAGAGACACATAAGTACTATATGACCCTTCAAAGCATTTTCCATCTTTGGCCTTCGTGATAGTCCAGCACGGAATGCTGTAACTCCTATGCATGCACACAGGAATCAATTCTCCTATGCATGCACACAGGAAGTGATATCACCCAGTCACTGCTGATGTGGATGTGTCAGCCTGAGAAAGAACCGCAAACTTATCCGAGTCTGTGCAGCCCAATGCCGGCTGTCAATACAGTCACATTAGATGCTACGTTCTCAGTGCCAGCTTTATCCAACCATAACCCCGGCATTTCAGTGCCTGCCTTCCACACCGACACGTTGGGGGGAAATCTTTGTGACTGGGTGATATCACTTTTGACTCTGACCTATTCCACCAAAATTAGAAAAATTAGCTTTAAGCTCTGCTATCTAAAATGTCATGTCCCTAAAAATATACCGACTGATACGAGTAGAGAATCTATTGAAAAATCCCACACACCGAGGGAGGAGGAGCCTATTTAGCCAATGCTAACCATAACCCAGAAATCATACCTTTCCAGCTACGGATTCCCCATCGTAGAACAAGTAATGCTTTTCTATCTTTCCTTCTTCTGTTTTAATCTCAGATTGCTTCCTTGATTCTGCATCACTCAGTACAACTTCAATTTCACAAATCGGACCAAAAAAACCACTTAGAAAGCTCTGCAAAACAAAAGAATTGGTAAAAGTAAAGGAGGAGGACACATCCGAGGGAATCGTCAAGTGCACAGATACAAAAACAAAGCGTTAATCTGCAAGTCATCACAGTCAGGAGGCAATCACTGTTCTTATAGACCTGCCAGCGGGTGGCTGAACGGTACAATCATTTTACATGCACTGCCCATCTATTCCCATTCTGCACTGGAGGAGAAGAGAGGCAGGAGGAAGCGCTGTCACAGCCGGCCGGCTCCGTGGCTTGGGTGAGTATAACTTGTTTTCCCTAGACCAAAATGAGGGGTTAACCCTTGCAGTGCGGGGTAGTCCCACAGCAAGGGTTAATAGTTTTCCCCAGACTTCTGCTTTAAAAACCTATACACATTATCATCCTCATTAAAATAAAACTCACTCTTCGGATTGGGCAACACAAGTTTAGTCAATGTCATATCTGTATGCTGTGCTCAGCATCTTCATAGCTTGTCCTACAAACTCCCAAACTGATGGATCCCCGACCCCACCTCCCATCCTGCATAGACTGTAGGACAGGCTGACCATTGGCAATGTGCTGCAGTAACAAACTCTTGGCTTTGTTTCTCACTCCCTCTTATTCATTCAATCAGCAGTTGCTACAAAAGGAGAGGAGCGCACCCAATGCGCATGAGCGTTTGGGATGAAGCCGAGAACTCGTTGCCACGGTGTGCTTTCAATTGCGGCCTGTCTTGTGATCTAGGGAGGACCCCGGGGAGGGTTTGGTCCAGGCATCAGAGAGGCCAAGCATTGCCTACAGCAGGGGTAGGCAAATTCCAGCCGTGGAGCAACTACAAATCCCATCATGCATCTGTCTATGGGAGTCATGTCTGTGGTGGTGAGAATCTTGCAATGCCTCATGGGATCTGTAGTTCCACAACAGTTGGAGAGCAGAAGCTTGCCACCCCTGGCTGGCCTACAGGTATGGCATTGAAGCCAAGTTTGTTTTGCACAAATCTGAGCCAGGGATATTATGTTAGCGGGGACACCAATATGCATGGGTTAGTTCAATGTAAAAGGTGAACATTCACATTATACATGATGCTGTGGGGAGAAGAACCCCAACATCTAGGTAAGAGGGGGCTGCAGACTGTCTCATGTTATACTCTGAATATGGCTGTAACATGAACCATGGTCAGGAAGGAGGAATCAGGCCATGTAACCGCCAGGAACTTCAAGAGCCTGCCTTCCCCTATGCCTGGAAGGCCACAGCCTCACCTGACCAGCTGACAGAGCACTGCACCTATCAGAGCTTCTTGCACAAGTTCGGCTGGAGTTTGCAAAGCATGACAGCACCGCCGCACTGACAGCTCTTGCCGGGGGCCCCGCACTGCTAGGCCCCGACACTTTCCTACACCTTCCGCAGCAGCCGCCAAGCCTTCCCTGCCTCCTCCACATGCATCTGTGCACTCACCATGTTCACACACCCGACCGACCACTCTGCACCAACCGAGCAGCTCCACCCGCCGCCGTCACGTGACACCGGGAGCAGGCACCGCCTGATGCCACGAGATCCGTGTGACCGGTCAGCTGACCAGGTACCGCGTGACGTAAGAACAGGAACGCCCACCTAGCTGACTAAGCCCGGGGGAGGGATTTCGTCGTTATGGCTTGGTAGTGCGCAGGTGCATCAAACGGTCAACGAGGAGAGGACGGGGAGCAGTCAAGAACGTAGGTCAGCTGACATAGGCCTCGGCCCCACCTCTACACGGAGCTGTCTCGGTCTGACCCCGCCCCCTCAATGTACATTTCCCTAGCCTCTAAAAGGGACCAGCCCCTTTAACGGCCACGCCCCACCGAATTCATCAGACGACAGACTGTTCCCCAGACCCCGCCCTCCCTGTACATCACACTTCCCTGTCCGCTCCCACATAAAACAAAGTATCCGCCCACATCCATATATAGCAGCACCCGGGCGGAGGAGCTCAAGTTGGTGGTGCCACTTTTTTTTAGCGTCTGCTGCTTAAAATGTTCCTCTGACCGCAACTTTAGCACAATATGGACGTGGCTGTACTCACCTGGGATATGGGATGAAGGACACTTGAATCCCCCCAATGTTTATTATTCCAAAGTACAGCTGCACATCTGTGTACAAAGCGCCTCCTGTCAGTGTGCTATACAGCAGCGTTATAACCAACACTAATCAGGAGTTGAAGGGATATTAAAGTCAAAAGGTTTCTTAAGGTGCCCACACACCTTGCGATAATCGCAGGAAATCCCACGATCGTACGATTATTCCAAGGTGTGTGGAAAGTGTGTGACCGTTTTTACTCTATGGCCGCACTCTGCGGTCGCACGACTTTTACCTTCTTGTACAATTGTCGGAGGGTGTGTGGCATGTTCGTAAGGG